GGTGAAGTCCCAGACAGGTGGAAGCACTCTCTTGTTGCACCCATTCCCAAAAAACCACCCTATAGTGACTCCAGAAACTATCGACCCATTAGCATAACCTCCGTATTCGCACGCACATTTGAAAAAATTTTGAAGGAACACGTAGTTCAGCATCTTGAAAACTACTCGATCATTCCCTCCTGTCAACATGGATTCTGCAAAGGCAGTTCTGTTGAGACTGCAGTATTAGCGGCCATGAATGACTGGACTTTAGAGGCCGATAAACGTCATCAAACTGACGTGATATTTCTTGATTTTTCTAAGGCATTTGACAAGGTTCCTATTTCCAAGCTGTTGTCCAAACTGAGGATAGTGGGAGTGCGGGGGATGACTTACAAATGGATTGAACACTTCTTGACTGATCGTACCTTCCAAGTTCGGGTTGGCAGTGAGTATTCAAAAAATCATTCTATTTCTAGCGGAGTGCCTCAGGGTGGGGTTTTATCCCCCATACTCTTTCTCATTTACACTTTCGATTTGCCCAATGTTTGAGGGTAGGGACGTTAGATGTGTTATGTATGCTGATGACATAAAGATTTACAAAGTTATCCAAAATACAAGTGATATTGAAGGTTTACAGTCATGTATTGATGCAGTTGATCAGTGGTCTTAAGACAACGAGTTACCTTTAGCAGCACACAAAACCCACTTTATGTCATTAGGAGCCAGAAAAATAGAGTCATCTTATACTCTCAATGGTTATCGCTTGGAACAAATATCTGAAGTAAAAGATTTGGGTTTTACATTTTCAGACAAGCTTCAGTTTACAACTCATTATCACAGCATCGTTTCCAAAGCACTTTTTCGGACATACAACTTATTTAAAGCGCTTCGATGTTCAAACCCTGGTGTTTTAATAAAAGCGTATAAGATATACGTTCATCCCATTCTTGAATTTGGCACCACGGTTATTTCGCCTTACAAGATTCAAGACGTGAAAGCGATCGAAGGTGTCCAAAGTAATTTCACACGGAAATTGTTTCTAAGAATTCTTGGCCCCAACTACTCCCTCATTCCGGGGAGTGAAGAACGTAGAAGGTTGTTATCTCTACCTAGTTTAGCTTCTAGAAGAAAGAAGTTTGACATCTCGATGGCACTTAAGATGTTAAACGGTAGATGCAGACTTGAATTGTCAAAATTCTTTGTCATGTCCTCTTCCAGAACTAGAGGGGGCTTCCTTCAAATTAAGAGCTCCCACAGCCAAGTCCGTTTTGCGATCAAAATTCTTCACCCTCAGAGTGTTGTCGGATTTCAACAAATTGCTCGGTCAAGATGCTCTTAATAAAACCCTAGCTAAATGTTGTTCCCTTGCCGACCGTCCTCCTTTCTGATCTTATTAGTGTATTGTGTTAGATTCTTGTTATTGTTGCTTTGTTAGGATTCCTTGAAATTTTGTCCTTTTGTGTTTTCTGTTTTTCTTACTACTATATCAGTTGTTTTTTTTTTTGTTATTTTTCATTATCTTCAATCACAATTCGTTTCATTATGGTCTCTTATCACTCAGGTTTTAGTTGCATATCATACTCACGTGTTTGTTTTACACGTCTCAATAAATAAATAAATAAATAAATAAATTTGTTGATTTGTTTACTTACATCTGGGAAAATGAGCTTGACATGCTCAAACCAATCATTTTGCCATGATCATGTAGTCAGGGGATGGTAAAGCTCAATTTAATGTCAATGTCGGGAAAAGCGGGTAATTTGTTTTAGAGCCCTTTTTGCGCAGAAGAAGCTCAAAAGCGTAAGTATAAGTAACTTCTTCTTAGCTAAACTGGAGTCCTGAGTGAAACCGGGACCGCCGGCTAGTTACTTATAATAACGGGCTAAGATGTTTACGTGACTTTGTGTGTCTGTCTGTGTGCGTGAGAGTGTGTTTGTTACGAAATTCGTAGAGCGTGTTCCAGCCAATGTCCTGAGCTGAAATTTTGCACAACGCATGCTACCCGCATGAAAGTCCAACACACAGAAGCACGAGCAGATTCGTTGGGTGGATCCCTCAGAAACTGCGCGTCAAAAGGATCTACGTTGCATTTGGGCCGCAAAATTGGATCCGTAATTCCTGTAGAGTAGCGGATGTTTATGCCAAGTAAATGCGCAAGCCATGAATTTAGGCTCAAAAAAGTGATCAAAAGTTCATTACTTTACAAAAACGGGGCCAAAAAGTATTGCTTGCGTAAATGGTCAATTTGCCAAGGTTTTACCAGAGCATTTGACGAGATTTATGCACAAGGATCTAGCTCACGGTAACTGCTGTTCTTATTGTAACTGTCAAGACCATAGAAAAATCAAAAACCCATAAAAGTTTGCGTTTGTTCTCCTGCAAAGAGTCTCATCCACGCGAAATCACCGATTTCAAATTAAGAAGCTTTCGGAATGAGTAGTTGTTTACATTTTGTTTGTGATAGTCGGCATTGCTCGGTGAGTTCCAGTGCCATCACTATGCGAGAATGAGTGGGACCTAGATATTAGAGCCAGTGCGAACCTCTGCGAATCAGAGGTGACGCACTGGTAACTTATAATAACGGGCTAAGGGTTGTTCACGTTTGTGTGTGTGTGTGTGTGTGTGTGTGTGTGTGTGTGTGTGTGTGTGTGTGTGTGTGTGTGTGTGTGTGTGTGTGTGTGTGTGTGTGTGTGTGTGTGTGTGTGTGTGTGTGTGTGTGTGTGTGTGTGTGTGTGTGTGTGTGTGTGTGTGTGTGTGTGTGTGTGTGTGTGTGTGTGTGTGTGTGTGTGTGTGTGTGTGTGTGTGTGTGTGTGTGTGTGTGTGTGTGTGTGTGTGTGTGTGTGTGTGTGTGTGTGTGTGTGTGTGTGTGTGTGTGTGTGTGTGTGTGTGTGTGTGTGTGTGTGTGTGTGTGTGTGTGTGTGTGTGTGTGTGTGTGTGTGTGTGTGTCCATTACGAAATTCGTAGGGAGAGTTCCAGCCAACCTCTTGAGCCCAAATTTTGCATAATGCATCCCAGCAGCAGAAAAGTCCATTGTGCAAAAGCACAGGCGGTTCCGATAAGTGGATCCCCTAGAAATTGCGCGCGAAACGGGTCCACTTAACTTCTGACCAGCAAAATTGGGTCCGTATATAAACTTTTTGCAAAGTCTTGGTTATGTTTGACAAGCTAATGTACAAGCCATGAACTTTAGCCCAAAAAATTCAACTAAAGTTGGTTACTTTACGATAATGCGCCAAAAAGTATCAGTGCACAAATGTTTGTTCAATTTACCACGATTTTACGTGATCATTTGAGAAGATTTTTGCACAGAGATGCAACCCACGATGATTATTGCCGTTATGGCGACTACCAGGCCATGAGAAGTCCACAAGCCTATTCAAATTTGCATTTATTCTTCTAAGAAAAGTTTCACCCACGTGAAATTACCGATCACCCACAAAAAGCTCTAGGAATGAGTAGCTGTTTACAAATCATTCGTGATAGCCTGCATAACGCGGTGAGTTTCACTGTCATTATTATGCGGGAATTAGTAAGGCATACAGAATGTAAGGCCAGTGCGAGCCTCTGCGAAGCAGAGGTGACGCACTGGTCTATAAATAAGCTTGAGAAATAAAAAGAGAAAGAAAAATAAGCCTTCTGAGAGAATGAAATAATTTTTGGACTGTGCTTCGTTTGAGGTCACCAATTCTAGGAGCATTTATTCGTCCGGTATCTTTTCGAGAAAAAAAAGTTTAGCTTTTGAAAAGTGTAGCAGATTTATGCATCGCCGCAATGATGAGGAAGAAGCTCCAAGCAGTCCCGAACTCGCAGTTCAGCAATTTCGTTACTAACAACTGATGTCTTCCAATTCGTCTCAAACATGGTCCAATTATATGAATAGAGAGAAATTTATGACATTATTCTGTCTGAGCCACCTCAGGTGGCTCTCCAGGTAGCTAAGCCGAGTAGGGCAGAAAAGTTTATCCCGATTTTAGTTTACATTTTCTATAATTACATTTAGTTCCAACTCCCTATTACGCAACTGCACACCAATTCATATGTCATATCATTTCCTCTTGCTGTAGATGTCTTTTGCTTATTTCGGCACATTTTTAAATCCCTGCTCGCAATGAGAGCATAATAAGATGGGAAATTGTTGGTTCTGCACAGACTGGGATTGATAGGGTAGCGTTGAGCACTTGCGACGTCTCCAGAAGATGAGGAGGTGGAGCAGAGGGGAAATGAAAGGGGATATCCGTGTATGTACGTGAATATAGCAACCCGATTGTTCGTAAGGGAGGGGGCTGCAAAAATCTGCTGGGTTGACGACCGTGAAGTTGGCCAACTGTTCGAATTTTTTCCTCGGTTAATTCCATATAAAAATACTGTGTTAGGTTGCCTTGCGTGATGCATTTTTTCCCGGGCTCCATCCCAAACCTCCAGAAACTATACCCTCTTTGCTTTTTATCCCTAAAACGATATCCAGCCTTTCTCGCAAGCCACCTGCGTAGGGCCCTATCTTGCGGAACATGAAGTTTTGCTTACACCATCTCTAAAAAAATGGAAGCGCTAAGATTCATTTTGGGTAAACTTGTTAGAATCTTTCTGAAAACTTATCTCTTATTCACCTGACATTAATCACGCATATCGCCCATTGACACCGAATGTCCTTTCAGTCAGGCGGAATTTTCTTCTCAACAAGCTTTATCGCCCGCCGAGATGTCAGTTATACATTTAATGTTTTGATGCCTCTTACAGATAGAGACGCGCCTAGTGGCCAAATCATACCAACGCCCACATCATGTTTAATTTTTTGCTCATTGAGATGACGAATAGGTTCAAGTGCTAAAAATTTTCTTTTTACTTGGAAACAACTCCAGAAATGGCACAGTATTGCAAGACAATCTTCCCATGCTTGGAAATTGATTGAAGATTCCCAGCATTTTACATACTATAAATTCCCATCTATTAAATAAATATAACATAAAAGCACTCCCATTTTTCTTAATAAAAAAGGCGAATTTGCAGAGTAACTACAAATGTCAACTTTTCCACTGTCCCTTAATGGCTTCCCATGGGGCTGGACGACTGCAAACGCTTTCCATACAAAGTTACTGCAAGCGATGAAACCTGGAGCTCCGCTGCTGCCACAGGTGAGTATAATTTCAACTCATGCGTGGTTATCATTATCATGGTAACCGATAAGCTCGTCGACAGCCTTATCGATTTGAAATGAAGCGTAAAGTGACTCGAGTTGTCGCATTGCTTTTGAAAATGTGATGTTGTTCATGCTCACTGAATGAGCAAGGAGCAATTTTCATTTGTTAACTCTCCTGTGACTTTTATTCGACCACGCTTTATCAGCATTTCATTTCCCAACGTTTCCATTCAGAGCAACCTATGAATCTTGAATTTTTTGAAAAATAGCAAGCTCCCGCTGTTATTTGCACCCACTAGATTGGGATGTTTTTTGTCACTATTTCACGGTCAATGCCCTATTTATGAACCAGAAAAAGATATAAATTTCTTGATCTGTATAAAATTCCTTTATCTGTATCTTATTGCTAGATCTTGCTAAATTAGCAGTTCTTTTTTCAACTGGGTTTGACTGCAGCTTCTGATTTTTTTGCCAAACTCGGTGAATTAAACCACTTCCATATTGTAAAATTGAGCGTTTATGAACATAAATTTTATTGTACAAAGCTTAGTATATGCAAGAGATTGCGAAGGTTTCTCACTCATCCCTTAATTTGCTTGATTACTTCTACAGAAATGTTCAAAGCAGTAAGAAGATCAAACTGTACTCTATTAGCTGATGTTAGAAAACGACTAAATTTGTTAAATATCCATGCATCCAAATTTTAGAGAAAAAGCGGCAACATACCATCTTTTCGTATCTTACCAAATTTACTCGAAAAATTCCAACATTTTCATCCTTCTTCAATCAACGCTGAATATCTTCTTTTTAGTCATCGGCAGATTTGAAAATTGTTCATCTGTGTGAAAAAAGAGCAACACCTTTAGCTGCTACAATGCAGATTGTATTTGATCACGTGAATCTTCATATTCTCATCCACTATGTTTCAGAACGCCATCAAAAACACAGAAATGTTAGAGGTGGAGATGCAAGTAAGTGAATTTTTACTGTTTTGCTTTTTTTTTTAAATATTTTGCACGATGTAAAACCATATTTGAGTAGTGTTATAGGATGAGCCAGAAGACTTGAGTCTTTCTGCTGCCGAAAGGAATTCTCGGACACGTTTTTGGAAATTTGTTGAACGGAAGAAAAAGACAGGCGAAATTGTTCTGGTTGGTTTTTTTCTACTGACAACGCTCTCAAAGGCTGATTTTTCAGCCTCTTCCACGATGAAAGGGAGAAAATTTTTAGAAACCTTGATTCTGCTTCCTGCAATGATGATTCGATACAAAAAGTCGATCTTTCTATGACAAACATTTTTTTGGTTTATTTTTTCTCTATTTTAGACTTTTCTGAAAGCAAGTAAAAACTAAGGTTTATTTGAACATCTTGAACAAAAATGGTGTCTTTCTAGTTTTTCATCATATTCATCATCTAATCATATTGAAAGACCATCAACTAAAAAATCAAGTTGTATTCTTAAAAATTTACTCTTTTTAACGTTGTATTTTCCTACAGGCATGTTCGGCTTGTTTGCTGGTATTCGCCGATCCGCTGCTCTACCGTATGCACGTCGGCACACATGCGATCGGTCGTTCGTTCCAGTGTGTCGCTTGCGGTACCGTATGCCCGGATCGCGTCGCTTTTCAACAACATCTCATCGCTGCTCGGCACGGCTAAGATTTCACATTCCGTTGTATGAAACATATTTCAGCCTTTCTTTGCTTTTTCTAGTCATTTCTTTCCTTTTCTTTGCATATGTAAAATACATTGATGTATATGGTTGAGTCAAAAGTAATTAGAACTTTTCGCACTTCATTTTAAAATTTCGATAAATTGATTAAAATGGTGATATTCAAGCTCTATGTTGTTTCAAGAACTTATGTCATGCGACCGATTCATCCGCTCATGAGCTGAAAAACACTCCAAAATTCTAAACATTTTGACGACGTTTTTGATTTGTATAACTTTCAGTGATCCTCAAAACCTACAGTTCGACGTTTTGAAAGAACTTCAGCCATCTAAGAACGAAGCAAAATGTGTTTGAGGTCTTTTCAAAACTAGCCTTTTGCAGCTTTTCAAATCAATTTTTTCGGAAGACCTTATTTTCAGAAAAATTACATAAAACAAAAATGTATCAAACCCTATAAAATCTTCCGATTTCAAGCTTCGAATAGTTTTTTTCATCAAAATTTGGCAAAAGAATCAACCGTTTAAAGCTTGGAATTTTTGACGCGGCTGAAAAGCCATAGAATATGTATGACAATAGCTTCAGGTTTAAAACTTCTGTAAATTTTTCACCGATAATAGAAGGGATGGAAAGTTCCCATCACTTTCGACTAACTTAGTATACATTCATAATTTTGAACTATGAACAGCTTCTTTTTCTTCCGTCGGGATCGAGTTTTGAGATGATAATGTGTATGATGCAAGAAGGTTCTATGAGTATTTTGCTATGGTGTTCTCATTTTCCATGCACACGAAGTCATAAAGATGTTCATAAAGTTTTGTACTTATTTTCCAGCAAGATCTAAACATCGTATGTTCGTACTGCCGGTTCTTTGTACTACCTTCATGTGCATACAGTAAACGTTAACATTTCCCAACGCTCTAACCACTATTTGAATTTCCCAGAAATTACTCTCCCTAGCTTTACTTTTCATATCCCTATGGCAGTGGCGTACCCAGGATTTCCGCTCGGGGGGGGGGGGCGACAAAAAAATTTTTCGAATGAAGGTGCGTGGCGTCAGCCACGCACTCCGAAAAAATTTTAGGAGTGCTTCTAAAAATTCTTGCGGCTCCCCAACCACGCCCCCGAAAAATTTTTTTTACAAGGATAATTTGAATTTTTGAAAATTTTTAAAAATTATTTTAATTGTCTACAAAAACAAGTCACTTGCACATTTTTATAACCCATATAAGTAACTTTCAAAAATTTCGCGACCCATTCTGGGGGGGGGGGGGCGCCCCCCTCCCCCCCCCCCCTCGGTACGCCACTGCCCCATGGGATTATAGCGATTGTCCAGTTGAAGTAATGTGTGCGCGTTGAAGCTTTGAAAAAAAAAAGGAAAATCATTAGTTAGTGGAAGGTAATATGTCACATGAAAATCTGTACACTCAATATAAAAAAAACTGTGATTAGACGACGGAGTCATTATATAGGTTCGCAGGTTTGAATCGAAGAGGCTGATTTTAATGATTGACGTTTAATGGCTGATTTTGATGTTGATTTTTCGAGAGGTTTGAACTACAAAAAACGAATTTCTCTTCATCTTTGAATCGGGAGACATAACATGATGTGAAAATGTAAACTCAGACGAGCTTTGGGAGCCAGTTTATCATGTTTGACCTCTTATGTAGCAAAACTTACCCTTTCTTTGATTCCGACCCTTCTTGGGTTCGCTTTCTACTGTGCTTGAATTAATTTGATGACCAGAAGATTAGAGTAAGCTTCACCGCTTTCATCTCATGTCTTGGGAAATGTGCACAGTCATATCGATTTTTTGCTTTATATATATATAGAGATTATATCCATAGGTCAAGAAGCTTTGCGTAATCAAGCCGTTGCATGGTCAGAGTGGTATGCGTAAAGCATTGCAGATGTACAAACATTATGAGCCGCATTTTAGGATACGTTCAGATCGATCGAGGATAGCTGCTGATTCACTGCTTTTTTTAGAAACAATTGTGATGCATTCCATCGAGGTAAGACTAAATTAGATGTCATATGGTATTTCAGAAAAACGACAAAAAATTATATTCCAGTTCTACATCGAAGTTCAGTTGAAACGTGTAATCTCAACTTAACAAATTCATATTCGTTCTACTAAGAGAATTTTTGTTGTATTTACTGTATCACTGTATTTTATATTTCTTCACATCATTAAAAAGCGAGGAAACTTTGCCAAAAATTGCCTTGCAAAGGATGGATTGTCAAGTAGTTTTTGCATATTTGCCCTAGTGCTCCTTGAGTTGTCCCTTGAGGTTATCTAACAGCAATTATTGTAAATTTCTTGCAGAATACCATGATGTATTTCAACTTTCAGCTCCTCTTACTCTGCTGTATTAATGTTTTACGAACTTATGGTGCCCCAAACAGCTTCTCTATCGGTGGTCGTGCTAGAGCTCCACCATCGTTTTGGTCAGCTGGGATGCAGAATGACAACAGCCTTTCAGACGAGCCTGCTCTACTAAATAACAGTGCTCAAAGTTTGTTAAATTTCGCCGTTGTCTACTTGATTTAGAAAGCAGAAAAGACTAGAAAATTCCCTTTAGCGTTATTATTTTTCTACTTCTATCATTATTTCAGTTGATCCGGAAATCGCAATAAAAAAGGTTTGTGTTTCTGACATGCCCTATAGTGGAGGAAACAATCCTGAGGGTGAGTTATAAATAACAAGATGGCGTTTTGCCTTGTTGACTGAGATTCGACGAAAACTGAAAGGAATAGAAAACAATTGCTTGCCTTATAAAACAGAAAATTTTGACTCGTTTTGAACACCGCATAAAATAGATTTAGAATGAAAATACTTATTGGACTCTGAATTATTTCACTGCTACTATGCATTTGATCCGCTAACAACATCATTTCAGTAACCAACGAGGTACCGCTTTCCAAAATTGATGCTCTTCCTCCTTCTGCGATAGAAAGCAATTCCAAAGGTAAGCTTAACTCCTTTGGGATGGCCAAAATTTGATGACACAATGACAACAAAAAGAATTCAAACTCCCACTTATTGCAGAACCTCCCTTATTCAATGCATATCCACAAGCTGAACCACCAACGAATGGTTTTTGGCCTGATCCAAAAGCTGTTCGGGATTTCCACAAACGTTTGAAGGATCCAACTTTTGGCTCTAGGCCAGAAAACAATGATGCGGGCTCTAGGCCAGGAACAAACGATCTCGGCCCTAGACCAGAAACTGTCAACACGCAAAAGGGTGAGCTGCTCTAGGAAAAATTCATACCATTGAGTCAAAATTTCACTTCTCTGCAGTCAATTAACAAATATCTGTGCATAAGCAAAATACGCGCTCACGAGCAGCAGCGCACTTCCAGATCCACAATTTTTGCAGCGACTGAAAGGCGTCGCAACCGCGCCGCGACAGTAACCGCAACCGTGTTCGTGTCTACCGTACGATTCAATCATACAAATCGAAGAGAATTTTATTACTTTTCAAACTATATTCCCTCACTTCTTCCAGAGTTCTAGACATTTGCTAATGACTGGTCTTCCAGATAGGGAGGACTTTGATAATGACAAATTTTGAGAGGGCTTTTTTGAATTTTTTTTCAAATTCTACCGAACTTTTTCTTCAGAATCAGCCTTCATTCATCATGCGGATAATAGTGACTATACTCAGCCGCTACCTCTCGTCACTTTCCCGCCATTCACCTTCAGAATCATAGCCGAACCACTACCTACTTCAACACCAACTCCATTCTTTCCTCCACTCGCTCCCATAGCTACTCCTTCTCCTGTTCCTATCGAGTTGATGGTCCATTGGATCTATGACGTAGACGACAGGAATGGCAACATGGGACCTGGGGAAAATTCCTACCCGGGAGTAGTCATTTATCCCCAAGCTTTATCATTAAATCCCCCGCCAATTCTCTGTAATCCTGGAGTTAGGTTTGAACCAGCAATGCCGTGTTATCTTGAGGATACATTCAATCCTCCCGCTCCTATATTCCCAATGGAAAGACCACCATTTCTTCTAGAAGCTCCTGATGATATTGTCGCTGAGTATTTCAAGGTCAGCGGACATCCTGAAAGGAGAAAGCTCTTCAAGTCATCTTTTCTCAGATAACTATGGACGAAAAGCTGACGAAAGGGGAGATGAAAAGAGCTTTGGAAGTTTGGAAAGCATCTTTACCTCCAATTTTACTGGTAGGTTTCCTCTCCGAACACTATTATGTTTTCATAAATTTCTGTATTTCAGCAAAAATATGAGGAAACTGAAGCCGAAAGAGAAAGACTGTCCTTGCTTGAGCGAGATCTTCGAGCACAACGAGTAACTAGACTCAGTCCATTGGCTCGGCAAGTAGCTGATGAAATTGAGGTTGAAATATCACTACCGCACCTCTACTGTAGGCAAATACAATTTTAAGGCCATTCGAACAAATGAAGACTTTACTGTGATGGAAGAAGAACATATGATCGAAGAGATCTTACAAAGTATACCAGAAGATATACTACAGGAGTTGTTGGCTCCATAATCTGTATGACACTAAACTGTGCTTACTTTTGAAATGCCTAATTTGTAAATAGCGTTATTAACTAGATAAACAGATTTCATATCAGTGTTTGCAGATGATAAAAAGAATCTTATGTTTATTTTTGCAAGGAATCTCAGTATTTGAACAGTAGTATGCGTTTTTTCTCTGCAAGAATAAAAAATAAACGAAATGCTGATTACAGCGAGAGATCGAGAAATCCATGCAACGTCTTCTACAATAATTTGGAGAAAGACGTCTCTTTCGTGTCTTATATTTATGTAGTCGTAACATCACAACAAGCATTCGAAAAAACGAACTTCATTGATCAAAACATGATGTCTCGGGTGAGACATGAGGCAGTTATATATTGTGCAAAGTCCCGCCCGACCCGACTCGCCCTCCCCCTCCCTTCTCCCGCCTCTCGCAAGTCCGTCTTGCTTCCTTGGTGATACACACTATTCTTATAAGTCAAGCAACATTGCAGAATCTTGCATCCGCTCAAATAACTACATCTGGGCGGGTAGTAATCTGGTCGAAACTCCGGGTTTAAAGCTGCGCGTTGACTCCGAGTTTCGTTTCTGAAACTCGGAGTTTCGAACTGCTACTTGCGGAGCCGCTATAGTTGTTGAGGAGCTACCACGCGCTTCATCGCAAAAATGGGTCGACTAGGTCGAGACTCGAACTTTCGTTGCTCGGCGCGAAGTGTCTACCACTGGACCACTAGACTACGGAGCCACTCTTACGAATTTGCAAGCAATGGCTTATTAGATCCCCGTAATCAAGATCTCACATGTCAAGACACGTGGAGGGGCATTGGGCCTGCCTGTGAGATGCCTGGCCATAAAGTACCCTAAAGATTCTTAGACATGGGCATAGACCGTAATCAACAACCCGCCACTCCTCTTTTCACCTATTTTAATATGCTTTATACTTGATAAAACTCAAAAGTCCTGTTAGTATCCAAATTTTTCGAATGACCTGTATCTATAATTCGTAATCTTAACATTGAATAATTCCATAATTTTAGTGGAATAGACTTCAAGTAATAAACAAAGTCTAGAGGTTATTTGAAAATCAAAATTGCAATTTCAAAGGACCTCTGAATAATACAGGGTGTCCCAAAAAAAGTGAACACTGTTTGTTTGTTAATAACTCCCTTGCTTTTACGTATTTCGCCGAGCTTAAGGCACTCTATAGAGCGAGGTTTAACTTAGATCTACAGTATGGAGCGAATTAGCGATCGCTCTTCATTACTGTAGGATTACGGCAGGAACTTCGACAACGATTTTGGACCTTTGGAGGCCAATTCTCCTCGGAACAAAAGCAAGTAAGCCAAAAAATTTTATACTATGGTAGTGGAAGCCGCTGAGTTCAAATATGAAATTTCCACTTTACAGTGATGCTTCTTTCCAATGTTATTCCAGCTAAACCGTAATAATGAATTTCCAGCAATTGTCAGAAATGTGACTACACCGTCAAAAAAGCTAAAAACACTCTTAAAAAGTTGTGTAATGGAATCAGCGTGCGCGCAAACCCTATATCTGGTAGTCCGCATCTACCATTCTTGCTCAACACACAATGGAAGCATTCCGTGGGCGGAGTAATGGGCGGAGCCTCCTCTGCCTTCCACTCTCCCCCTTGGATACAGGCGGCAAGGGCTTTAGTTCCTCCTGCACCACCTCCATCACAACTGCGGCTGAACCATTATGCCAACTTCGAAATTTTTCCTAACTATGCACACAAGTTTACTGTTGTACAGCCGACGTAATGGCTACATTATAGTACTTTCTGTTGCTTGAAAATTGAGTTTTATGGTTTGAAAGCGTGACAAACCTATGTTAAGGTCGTAGTCTGTCCGTCAATATCAGCGATCACGCAGAGTTTACGAAAGCGCTCTTCAACTCATTTATTGGAAAGGCTCAATGCATTCCATAACTAACATAAAAGATGAACAAGAGCTTGAAAACTCTTCAAACCAGCTGTTGTTGAAGCGGACTGACTTTTGGTGCTTTTAAAAGCAAAAAATGCAGTGAACATTTCTCTTTGAAAAGGATGACAGGTCGCAAATGTTGCAAATGTTTCTTATTTTAGTATGTAACTGTACAAAAAACTTTAAAGTCAGGAGATGCTATAGTGTTGAAAAAACCTAGGTGTCTTTATAATTTTATCCAGCTTTCGGTAGGGGTTTTTCAATTTTTCTAGGTGTCCCCTTTCAAACTCAACAAAATCAGAAGCCGTCTTGAGGGATCATGTTAGGCTGACATGCGCACTAAACAGCAAAGTTTTAGACAGATTCGTCAACAAGAACGCAATGCAGGACAGTTTCTAGAATGTCTTTGTAGATATGGCCAGCACTGTATTATAGAGCTCATCGAGGATAATAATCAGGTGTGGTTACTTCCAGAAAAACCGAAGCTTGAATTCGATTCTGCGTTTTCTTTTCAAAAAAATGACTTCTAATTCCCTCTTTCAAGCCGAATTTCTTCACAAAGAAACCTATTCAAGACATTTCAACAAAGCTGTTCGGATAAAATAAATGCTCTTTACCATCCTCTATGCATTGGACTTGTGCTGGTAAGTTTCTTTGCTGAAGATGGCTCTTGGCGCACGTTCACATGACCCCACCTGTACCAAAGATAAAGATAAAGATCCGCAAAGCGCTTTTGGAATAGGAGTTATGGAAATCTTTTGACGCAAAAATTTCGAGACGCAGTTACAATAAAATCTTACAAACTGTAGTTTGTGAGATTGGAAGGGATCATGATTACTACCAGGGCGCTTGTTAACACCTTCATTCTATCAAATTTGAGCTAGTCGTTACACCATTCAAGCGCCGAAAAGACTTCGGCGCTTGTTTTTACCTTAACCAAAACCTTGAATTTTTTGACTCAAAATCTTCGTGACTCCAATCCCAAAAGCTCTTTGCAGATACCAAAAAAGATTCGGAATCAGCGTTCCATGCTCTACAAGACAAGACACATCTCCTATGAAAACTGCACTTCGACCAAGTGTCCTTCCTTGTAAGAGAAGACTACTGTGATTTTGTTCTAACAACATGGATCCGTTGATGAAGTCGACTAACGACTAGATTAGCATATATCACTTGAAGCATATCCCACGCAAATCTCGGACATGTGATCCTCGGTCACACCTCGAGCGATTTCTTCGCGCGGTCGCCACGCGATCTGACGCTTTTCCAGGTGCAAGCTCTTCGCTCGTGATTGTAAACATAAACCCTAATTTCACGCGTACAAGGCGCGGGGTGGTCCTAGCTTTCATCGAGCTGCTCAGCCGCCCCACGTGTTTTAAGAAGCGATCCTTATGCCGCACGATTCGTCAGGCAAAACGCAGCACGGTATGGGGTTCCATTGGTTGCGAAGTCCTTTGCCGTGTTCGGGCTGGTCGATGAAAGCTAGGACCACCCCGCGCCTTGTGCGCGTGAAATTAGGGTACTTATTTCCATTTAATGCACAAGAGTGCACCGAAACAGAAAAAAAGAAAGAAAAAACACAACACAAATTACAGACATTGGGATCGGATTACTTTATCCCTTGGTGGATTGATCAGGTCGTTCTCCTTCTTCAAAAAGTGAGTAGGGCTTTGCCGAGTTTCTTTTTCCTTACGCGAACGCATTATAAAGCCAGAAACTACCAGGGCTCGGCTGACCAACTTAACCCGGGGCGGACGAATTTGTCAGGGACCCTGGGTGAACGAAAAGGGGGGCTCTAAGTGGAGCGCTCACTAGTCTTTGATATCCTCGAATGGCTACTCCATGCTAAGAGAACTTATGCGAACCCTTCAAAAGATAGCAAACTGTAAAAATTGCAAGCCATCATGCAAAATGTCAGTGATTATCATCAAAACCCCTTCAAAATCATCAAGACTACTTTGGGAAATGCGTTTGATTGCATGGCTTAATCTTCCAACCGAGCATACAGTGGTGACAGAAGCAATCACGATATGCGTAACGCAAGCGATTAAGTCCCACACAACGCGCATATAGAAGCGAATTCCACGTATTTCCAGTGATTTAATTGACCATTTCGGTCAAAATGAAAGAATCTTGTTGTCATAGTAAAGGAATTAGCCCAAAAGTTTCCAGCAAAAACTAGCGATTATCAACGAATCTCGGCAAGACAAGATTATTAACAAATCTCGGCAAAACAAGGAAATGTCAACGAATCTTCAATAGTCAACAATATTCAAAGTTTGCAAAACATTCACAGATGCTAGTTGTCTGTAAAATTCCTCAGAATTCTTGTTGGACTTTTTTGCTCGGCAACAGGCTGAGCCATCTTGCTGGGCGGCAAACGAATGAATTGAAGGCAATGGGAAAAATTCTATTCGCTTGTATAGGCATATAGCTTCTGTAAGTCAATGCACAAATTGCAAGTCTTGATTGTACGAAATGCACTTATAAGGAATTATCAGCGATCTTCGCAATATCATAGCCCGGCGATCGAATTCGCGCAAGGTGTGACCGATGCCTTGAGTCGTCGATTGCCGATGGGACAAATCGCAAGCCAATCTTGGGGGACACAATTCGAATAGGGAGGATGTCGCGATATCGTTAGAATCAGCGATGTGCTACGCTTCTCTATTCGAAAAGCCTCCCTATTCGCTTGTTCTATACCAGCAATAGGTAAAACGGTGCCGTTCTCCTTTCTGGAAAGTTCTTCTCTATTGCTAATTCAGGTAAAACTTCTTTATCCCACATTAGCGCTTTTCCCTTACATGAAAGGAGTTATCAAACATGCCATGATACGATCTTAGAACTCACGTAATATTTATGCTTAGTAACATTTGATTCAAATGGCTTGGCACCATTAGGGCGGGGTTTTGTAATCTAATTGAGGCCGCTCGCGCCCGCGACGCACCTGCGTCTCTCTCGCGCGAGTGCTCTCTGATCATGACCTAGCCTTAATTAGGTCACGAAGCCCCGCCTTTGCCGATGCCAAGAAAGTTGAATCAAACGGTACACATCACGTTATCACTGTTAG